CACCAATTGTAGATGACATTTCTGAGGGGGCACATAATGACCTCTAAATACTTCATTGATGCTGTTACTAGTTATTAGGAAAAAAGGTGATGGGGAAGAGAAATTTAATGATTACTGTTACTCGTAGGGATTATATTTTACAAATCAGATTATATATTAAAAGTATAATTTATTTTATGAAATTATTAAAATATATTAAATAAAATAACATAAAAAATAATTTTATTAAAAACATTTTAATAAATTTATAAAATAAGTTATATTTTTAATGTGTAATTTGTTCGATAAAATATTTTTGTTTTGTTATTCTGTATTGTGCTCACTTCATTAAGCTAGTTTCACGCTTGTTGAACTTTGGAAAATTAGGTGTTTATGTTTTATTAAAAAAAAAGTTTTGTACTGTTTAGGTTACTTGGAATTATAATTTAAATTATTGAATGAAGTGTATTCTTGGATATTAAGAGTTTCTTCTCTTCATCTAAGTATATTTATTTTGCAATAGAAATTGTAAAATACGAAACTGGAGTTTTATTTGCTTAAATATTTAACAAAACTAAAGACTTCAGATTTTTTGGACTTCCTCTTCAAATTTTCTGAAAAGAATTAAATAATGGAAGGAAAGAAAATTAGAAGGAAATTAAAGAAAAAAGAAGCTAATGTGATGGGAAAACAAAATTCCCTGCAGAAACGGCACCGTTTCAAAGAACGTACACAATAATCTGGCAAATTAGGAATTTCCGGAGATGGAGGGAAAAATTGACGACGGAAAAAATGGCGACCAGAGAAATAGAAGCATCGAGTGAAGAAGAGAGGAGGGCACTGCGAGGAAGCAAGTTCGCTCCTTTGCCGTCGCTCCCGCCGCAGTCCCATTCCCAACCGAGGTATCTTCTACTCGTCCTCTAGGGTGTCTGTATCTAGATTGTTAAAGATGGTATTTTTCAACTGAATTTTTGTTTGTTAATTGTTAATATGTATGTATGAATAGGTTGGCTCATCCAGGTGGACCTTTAACGACCAACAAGGCGGCGGCTCTTGCCAAGTTCCTCGAACGGAAACTTCAAGACCCCAATGGCTTGTTTTCCATTAACCCCGATCTTCTTGAATTAGCCGTTCAAAATGCTAAAGCCACCGTCATTGCAAGTATTTTTCCTTTTACTTTGTGGTCTTTTTTCCATATGGGTTTATTCGATGTCGCGATTTGGATATCTGATTTTCATTTCCTTTCTTATTTTCTTCTCTTAATGGTGCTGTGTAAACTGGATGGTATTCCCATTTATTAAGCTTTGCATTTTGCAGGTGAATCCTATTTAAATTTAGGAATTTGAGTATCATTTCCCCATTTTTGCCTGATTTGACTGTAGATTGTGGTGCAGGATTCTGACATTGTTATTGTATTAGGACGAAAAATGACTTCATAGTTTGGCTTGTTTAGAATTTTGCTATTCTTAACATGTTTGGTTGGTGCTATCTTTAAAATTAGTCAAGCCAGTGGTTGAGGTATAGCTTACAGGTACTACCTTAAGTTAGAGTAATTCAGAAGAAACATTCAAATTTCATTTTGAAACATGGAGTTTAGGATTGAAAATTTGGTGTTCTTTTTTTTTCTCCTATTTTTGGTATGGGGATATGTATGTGATGCCCCAAATAAATAACTGATCTCCTGCAAATGCCTATGGTCCTTAAGATGTTTGATGTTTATTGTGGGGTAATTTGGTATTACAATTGCTTTGCACTGTTCTGATGATCCATGTTGATTCTTTTTTATTTTGGTTGATCTTTTGATGGAGTGGGTACTCGAAATCATACTCCTGGCTGATTAGGGAATTGTCACTTGATTTGTTAGCTATTTATGGAATTTCCTGATCCATCATATAGTGTATGTGGAATGGCCATTTTTGCAAGTCGCTTCATTAGATTGTTTAACTTGTTGTGGCTTTATAGTGTGGGCTTCATATGATTTAGCTTGTAATAAGGAATTCATCTACTGGAAATTATTTTTGATTTTCTTCGTTTTCCTCCTTACTAGGTGGCACTTCAGATTAGGCAGAACAGTTCGACATGTAGATTCTTTTCCTGATTCTGAGGTACATTGATCCTGCCATTCTGTGAGCCATACACTTAAGCTATTGAGATGTTTCTATATCTCTTATTTTAACTGGTTTACAATTTCCAGGATTCCGTAGGAGAATGTAAAGAAGAAAATTCCAAACCGAAAAAACACAAGAAGAAGAAAAAGGAGAAGAAAAACAAAAAACAGAAGTGGTTTTTTTGATTCGTCAGCAGCCTAGTCTCTTCTATTTCGGCATTTCATCTTTGGACTGACAGGATGAGGGTTGGGGATCATGAGTGTGCAACTTTAAACAGGCGTAAAAAGGGCAAGTTGTGATTCATACACCAGCTATTATGAGAAGAAATTTATTGCAGCTTTGGAAACTGGTGATTAGACGAGGATCAGATATCCGAAAGCACAATTGGTGAAATAGAATCAGTTGCTTTGCTAGACCATTGATTTTGAAAGGATGTGTCAGTGATTAACCCTGAAATTAGAGTTCCCTTTTGACTAATTTAACACATTAAACTTGTTCAAATAAGAATTGCTCATTGCAAGTTCTTTTGATGGTAGTTATTTTTCCTTGTCAAATACCAAACAAAATTGTTATTGAATTGTGAAACTTAATATGAAGGGCCACGAAAACTTGAACAAACTTGTGAAGCAACTAGGTACACTATCATTCTTCATACACAACATGATGGATCAAGGGATTTCCTGAGATGAAGAATCATGTGAAAATTTCCTGATCAATTACAAAACATGATCTTGGGCACAAAAAATTGCCTGCACATCATAAAATCAAACCTTTCAGCAAATGTACAACCAGCATGAGAGCATCATAATACCACTGGCAGCAGTGAACTCATCACTTAGATAAATGGGTAAGAGTTGAAACAAAGACAGGGAAAAGAGCCGCCATTGGAAAAGAAATGACCCCTGCCAAACGTGCGCGACGAAAAGAAAATGTATAATATGGAACAACATAACCAAATAGCAGTGCCAGGTTTGGGCAAAGTTTTGAGAGTGTAGATTTTGATCCAATGTAAGAGATCACAGAATCTGAATCATACACATCCTACGAAATGCTCTCCCACCCGTAACCTGCCTAGGAACAAATTAAATATCTGATAACCATATAATGTAGGAAATATCGAAACCCTGCCACTGTCAGCACTCACTTAGGAAGACCCAGTTTTTGTTCATACAGCTTCAACAGCTCGGAAGCTTTCTCTTGATGGCAGTTCACAAACTTCTGAAGGAATGCTTTCTCTGAAGTATAAAACAATGCTTGCAAATTAAAGTTCTGGATCAAACCTTTAGACAACAGATCTTGAGCAAACAAACCCCTCGGAATAATTCTCTTCTCCAAGCTCATTTTGATAACAGAAGGGTTTTTGGCAACATCTGAAGGCTGGAAACCCATTTTGTTCACAAGAAAATCCATCACACACATAATCTTGTCCCTAGAGGATAACATGCAAAATGGATGCAATCTAAAGGCTCTGAAAACATCTTCCTTGGACCAACCCAACTTCTTATAAATATCAACCTTCTTCTCCCAGTGTGATTTAGAAATAGACCTAAGCACACAGATTGCCAAAACAAAATTCATTGTTGAAGGATGAAGCCCCATTTTCTGTACTTGCTCTACAATCTGCTTAAACGCATCTGGAGCTACGTAGAATGTCCTTGGACGCAGCCTAAAAACATTCACGAAATTCGATTCCCTCACTCCAATCCCCCTCAGAATGTCGATATTAGGTAACAGTGCATCTTCAAGATGCATTGTGAGCATGCGCGGAAAGCGTTTAATAGCTTCAACAGCCATCTTATCAGACAAGAAAAGATTACTAAAAAAATTAAAAGAAGGGATTAGACAATTCTCCAAGCTTCTCCCCAAAAGATGTGGGTTTGCACATAAGATTCTGGCAAGGTCAGAGCTTGAAACATCTCTAGAGTAAAGAAACTCGATTTTGGGCAAAAGGGTTTTCTCAATATCGTAAACCAGCAGGTCAGGTTTCTTCTTGATGATGCTTAAGATTTGGGTTTTTGAGATCCCAAGGTTCTTGAAGAAAGCAATGACGGAGTCCGGTCTATCGGGGGTCTTAAAGCGGATACGCCTGGAAGCCAATGAAGCAGATGCCAGTGAGGCATATTCCGGAGAGAACCCACAAGTGTTGATGAGATATGAGACCACAAAGGGATTCTGTTTCGAAGAGGTCGAGACGAATCTGAGAGATAACATGAATGGGTCGCTTCGAAGAATGCAGAAACGCCTGAGAATTGGAGAGTCTACGATACCCTGCCTCCCATGGAGAACAGTCTTGCAGAGAGGATAAATCATGGGAATCGAAATCAAGGTAATAACAGATAAGAGAGCAAACCCACCTCCGTTGAAAGCAGATCTGGTCCGCCGCCGTGGGTGGTTCCGATTTTGAGTTTCGACCGGACAAAATTCAGTTCGGTGAAACAAAACAACCCGCGATGATTTAGGGCACCTGAAAATGAGCTTTGCCCCTTATATATATTCGGCAGTGTGTAGTTAACGCCCTGCAGTTTAAAAAATTTTCACGTCACCCCTATAGTTTAGCTCTTTTGGGGTCATCCTCTTGTTCATCTGCCTTTCTCTCCATCCACATTATCAATCTTATAATCCTTTGCCACCACCTTGCAACAATGCCTCTCAAAGTGTTGAAGGATAGTCAAAGATCGAATACTAAGTAAAAGAATACAAATATTGTGAGATGAGAAGGTAGTAGAAAAGGGAGTAGAAGATAAGGGAGTAATATAATTTTAAGAGTTTTTTGTTTTACCATTCAAATTATACTGAATTATAAAGGACAATGCTATAGAGATAACTCTTTTATATCACATTTTGATACAACTTTCACATGTCATTAAATGAGTTGATGCATTCAATATCACGAGTCGTATATGAATTAAAAGAATCAATTATTTAAAGGTGAAATGCTAAATGTGATCCCTCAACTTCATAGAGTTGCACTTTTTTGGTCCCTCAACAATTTTTTGTACATTGTTTATCCCTCAACTCTAAAAAATGCGCAGTGTTTGTCTTTCCATCAATTTGGACCGTTAATTCTGCCACGTGACATTTTTTATTTTTTTTTGATGACATGGAGAAGACAACGATTTTTTTTGATGACATGTCATCTTCCCATGCCAAGCCCCTCCAATGCGCGTCCAATGGGTCCCACATTGCTTGCAAAAACCACTGCTAAAGAAAGATGTCTTCTGGGTTTCTCTTTCAACAGTAGAAAAAATCTAAAAACTTACAAAACAAAGATTTTCTTCAAACCCAAACCCAGATTTTCTTTGAGATTGCAGAGATTTTCTCAAAGAATTATCATGTTTTCCTTGTTTGTTCTCCTTTAAAGTTCACTAAGAACCCTACATTTGTTGGGATTCCAAAGATTTTTCACAGATTTCACTAATTAATCATCATTAAACTATAATTACTTATGTTAATTAAAGTTGAGATTCTAAATTAATTTATAATTAAATCACAATTTCCTCATCAAATTTTCTTAACAAAACAAATTGAAACCATTTTCTCAACAGCCAAACACCCAAACTGTACAATTTTTTAGCCGAACAAATGGAAACCCACTAAAAATTTCTTCTTTACCCATCAGTCACTGCTTCTGTTCTTTCCATCACCGACGACATTCTTTCCATTTTGAACATTAAAATCATTTAGACAATAGTTAGGAAATATGAAGCAAAAGGATCCCAAAAATCCCTCACAACCTGCAATTTGCATAAACTTTTCACAACAAATATATAACAAAAAAAAAAAAAAAAAGAAAGTGGAGCTGGGTTCCTCAAACACAACAAATTTGGGTTTTGGGTTTGACGGAACCCAATAGATGGGTTCCATCGAACCCGAGTTGGGTTCCCTTGAACCTAGATTAGCTGAGTTTGAGGGAACAGAGCAACATAGAGGAGGAAGAGGAAGAAAGAAGAGGAAGAAGAGGAAGAAAGAAAAAGAAGAAAGAAAGGAAGAAGATGGATCGAAAGAGGGGAAGAAGATGGATCAAGAAAGGGAGATAGGGGTATTAAGGTAAATTTTTAGTTTTTTATTTTTTATTACAAATATAAATATTAATCTAATTTGGTATACATGGGACATCTCATCAAAAAAAAAAAATCATGATTACCTTTTTAAGTTTTTTTCACCATGTCATTTAAAGAAATATAAAAAATATCACGTGAGCGGAATTAGCAACCCAAATTGATAGAATGACAAACATTTTGCGTTTCTTAGAGTTGAGGAATAAAAAATGTACAAAAAATTGTTGAGAGACCAAAAAAGTGAAACTCTATAAAGTTAAGAAACCAAATTTAACATTTAACTTTATTTAAATGACATGTCAAGTTGTACCAAAAAATTATATAAAAAAGTTATCCCAAAATCATTTCCCAATTACAAAACATAAATCATCCTATGAAAGTTGTCAATACCAAGAGATACGTCTCCACCCATTGGTTAAAGTTTACCGTGCAAATTGCATAACACATTTTTGTAAACCCAATTGTAGCAATTGAAGGGTTAACGTGCCTAATTCAACCTTACCAAACGAGGACCAGCCATGAATTTTTATCCACTTATAACCTTGATAAAACCATTTCGTTAAATAATGTCATAAATTCTTTCAGCACATAATTGAGCATCATAATTAATGGGAAAAAAAATTGAGTTTCATATACTGAGAGAATGACAATGGTATCATTGTTTTACAATTGATACATGTATTGATTCTTCTTGGAGGAAAAACCAGTGTGGAGAATGCTTCTGCGATTGGGAGGTAGGGAAGCTTTATAGATTTTACAACAAGAATTTAAAATAATGAAAATGAGGTTTATGTAGGTACCAAAGCCAATATCTGGTTCCTTATAATTCCCATACATTTCTGTATCTCAGCATAAATTGGAAGGTTTTGTGAACAATATGGCTGCAAACTTGTAACTGCAGAATCGAGTACCTGGGCAACATCACCTGGTGGGAACTGCCTTTCGGTACATTTCTGCAATTTGTTTTGCGAGATTAATTAGGGTGAGGTACTGAAATAACTAAATGATCACACCAGAGACTGTAAAGATGCAAAGAACAAATGAATATTCAGTTAAATCTGATGCATCACTAATGAACAAATGATCAAACCGGAAACAGTACAGATGCTTGAAATCTTGCAATAAAAAGAAAAATGAGAGAAGTGTCAAGTGGATCAAGATTCAAGATTTACCTGAATCATAAGCAAGGTAGCCACACAATGTGCAATAAGGTCCAAAGGAATTTGTGCTTCGTCTTGGTCAGACAACTCATCCAACTTAAGATCAGGTGCTGTGCTAGTTTCCAATGGACTTGGTGTGCGGCCAGTAAGATGATCGTGGGAAGCTAGATTACTATTAACTGAAGATCTTACTGCAGCCATGCTTGAATCATCTACTGAAATCTGATTATTTACGAAATCTATAGCATCCTCAATCCTTTCAATGACCTTTCCCCCTTTCCTCAAGGATGAAATTGCCTGAGTTGTCAAGTATAGTCAGAACAAGATGACCATTTTGATGCTAAAGATATGAAGTGGCCAACAAACTATTGGTGTGGTTTAGTAAAATGATAGAACATTTCAATTTAAAGAGTACATGATCACTGAAAAAACCATTTCTAATCTAGGATTGCCAATGAGCTTCAGTAATGAAGAAATGTAATTTCCTAAAAAATGAATATTCCAATAACAAAATTGTCTATAAAACTTTTATCAAGTTGGAATGAAGAAGTTCACATCTCACAAATGGGAGGAGAACTCAACTTCATAAACTTCCATCTATGTATTGTAGTCAGGTTTAAGATACTTTAGGATAGCCAAAAAATTTTTTCCCTTCAGATCAGGGAGTGGTGTTTTAATGGTTAAAAGTCAGTGCAAGCTAGAAAAGGGGAGATAAAGGGATGAAGGTGATACAACTAAAAGTTGCAGCATCTGTCTCTAATGAGCCAGGAGCCACAAATATTTCTTTACCTGAATTGCTGCATGAACCATTGATTTGGCTTTCGTTCTCGAGCTTTCAACAATTTCGGCCACATGGGATACAGATTCTTGGGTGTGATATGTGGGGTGATCCAATGAGCTTAGGTGGCCACCATGCTCACTAGTAATAGCCGAAGGCTTCAACCACAAAGGTGAGGCACTTTCGTGATAAGTGTTACGCTGCCTCAAGCAAAATAAAGCACAAGAAACCTGCATAGGAAAGGCATGTGTATAGTCAGGGATAAAATGGTGAAGACAAGGAGATTGAAACTGAAAGTGCTAGACGGTTTTATCCTGCCTGCTCATTGATTTCATTTAACTGTAGGAGGACAGCAGCGTATTGCTTCTTGAAAGAATCTGAATCCTTGAGAGAGTTGTCCCCACCCTTTTGGTTTTCCAACACCTCATCATTCATGTGCCGAAGCTCAGACACCACAGCCTCCTGCAAACATTAATATGGATTGGTTCACTTCTAGGATACAGATCTGATGACAGGACTTGAAAGTTGAAAGGCTTTCTGTATTACTTTCAAATAACAGAATTAACTCGTGAAAAAAATAGAAATAAATCAAATCAAATCAAATCTTAACCCTGCAACCAATCAAATAATACTAGTCTTAAATATTGCCAGAAAGTCTCCAAAATAGATAAAGATTGGAAAGTAAACCTTGATTCCAGGATCAAGATCAGGGGTTCAACTCTCTTAAATTGTTAGGCACACTATTACTAATATATTTGCCAATAGAAAAAAGAATTATCTTGTATATTCAAACAGGGAGCATATTCAGCAAAACAAAGAGACTATACACTTTTCAGTCTTCAAGTTAAATGCATAATGAGCTAACATGCAGTATGACCTTTTTATGAAGGGCACGAGTCAACTCAGAAAGAGCTTGAACATCTGCTTCTCTTGCCTGGATCTGAGCCAGGACATAAGGCTGAGAATTTACCACCTGTTGAGTATAGACACTTTCACCTGGCCCAACTTTAGGTTGTAAATTAGGACTTGGTGAATCAACCTGCCCAAAGCAATTTATTCTTAGATAAAAATTAAACCTTACTGCTTCCAGAAAAATCATGTCAAATTTAAGCTACAGCTGCAAAATTCCTTTTTCCTTGGTCCAGGAAAATAACAGCTGCAAAATTCAAGGGCCACAAAGGAAAGTGGACAGAATAAAAGAAATTAATGCCCCTTATTTATTTTTATGTCTTTCTTTTCCAAGGTGATGTGCATTCTTCTAACTGACCTTTGCCTGCTGTAATAACTTGCTGACATGGTTGGTCGATGGGGATATACAAGAAGGACTATTGGTGCTTTCTAGGTTCTGACAGAGTGAAAATTTAGTGCTCTCTTCCACTTTCCTTTCTTTTGCTACCCCATTCATTTTAAGCTCATTGAAGTTCTCAATAAATTTACCAAAAACAACATTTTGCCTTGCAAGAGATGCTGGCATATTTTCCAGTGGATTTAAAGGCATGCAATCGGTGTCCTGCAAAAAAAATTGTAATATTCATGAAAGGTGACAGGAGAGTGACATGGAAAAGTACATAGATAAAGTAACATGCATACACTCCACTAAAGACGTATAAAAGCATGTTTCTGTGCTTACATGCATTCGTTCGTTTAAAAATGAAACAGAGTATTTCAGGATAGCAAAGAGATACCACTAAATCCTTTTGAAAGAAAAAGCAACATAAAGATAAATGTAATGTGCAACCAAAAACTACATATGTCAGATAATTATTGTGACATAACTAGATACTTGTCATGCATTATAGGCAAAATGGTTTTCAAAAGGTGTTGTCTAGCATATCAAGTGCACTCCAAATGTTTGCCAGAGCAGCAAAGTTGTATTTTCCTTTTGTCACATGAAGGCACAGCTGAGGTAATTTCTAAGTTTATATTATTTTCAAATTCATAACAAAGTATAAGTATGGCTTATAAAAAAACATTAAGATTGAAATGAATTTATCTTCATAATTCTGGTGATAAAAATAACTGCAAGTTGATGAGTTCTTGATTATTTTGGATAATAATCATTTATGAAATTAAAGAAACATAAATTACTACACTGTGATTCAAACCTAGTGTTAATAAAGTACTGGAACTATTTAAAAGGCATTCTCCGTGTTGAACAGCCTAGACAGTGGTTGTCACAAATTCAAAGAATCTCAAAATACAATAGCACTCAAAACATTCATTCCAGTTGACCCTAATTGATGCCACTTTCTTTTTTTCTTTTTCTTTTTTTTTGCTGTTGGTTGCACAACAGGAGGCAACCCTCTCCCATCCCTTATCCCACCCCACCTGCATACCATGCAACTCAAACTTAGGACCTCTTACTTCCAAGGGAAGGAGATTACCACTAAGTTTTTTAGGTCATTGGCCCTAATTGATGTCACTTTTACTTCATAATGGGCATGCAAAGTTAACAATGATATGGTTAGAAAATTGTTGAATGGTAAAATTAAGAATCACCTTCCTTACAACCCTGCATCCCCCAACCAATTAAAAATGTTCTAACCTTTAAGCCTATTCAGCAAATTGTGATGATGTTGAGTGCTATTGCACCTAAATATTTTTTTAAAAATAAAATAAATTAGACCCTCACTACACAAACAGCCATGACATAGAGACGATAGAAAAGGAGGCCACAAGACATTGAGGCAAAAGAGGAATGAACAATGACTTGAAAAACCATCCAATTTTAAAAGGTAAAGATGAGACAAAAAAAGAAACAAATATATCTACTAGTAATTCATTATCAATAATCAAAGTCTCAACATATATAGGCAAAACTATTTTGCGTTGCTGTTTATTTTATGTGAAAAGAAGCAAGTGATCTACTAGTATATGAATGCCACATCCCTCAATAAATTAATGAAAATATAAATGCCCTGAACTAGAACAAACACATTTAAAATAAAAGTTTACCATGACGAATTCCACTTCCAACTCAGGACAGTCAAATTGAATCTTGTATCTACTACGATCAATAGTTAGCACACAGCCATCATGAATCTCTTGAGTTTTTGGATGGACAGCTATAACACATTGCCCAACTGATAAAGGCCGTGCTAAATCAGTAGGAAGTCCCTCCCTGACACCAGAACGGAGTTCTGCATAGTGATTCCTAACAGATTCCCGGTATTGATTAAGCTTCTCTCTTTCTTCCTTCAAAAATTGCTCAGAAAATCGTCGAGGTTTGCCAAGGGAACTGCATCAACAAGAAAGAATAAATACAAATTTTAGCACCCAAAATTTTATTGAGTTCTAAACAAATAGTTGAAATGTCTACCTCCGTATGACACCCCACTCCACACGAGTTAATCTTGGAACATGACCCAACCCAACATGATCCAGATACTCCACAAACTCCCTTTTAGCAAACCATGGATAATCAATTGCACTATAGAACCACTCAAAAACACACCATTTCCGTGCTTGATATGATGATAGAAACTTAGAAACCTTTTCCTGTTATTATAGAAATATCAAAAATGAAAAACAATCTAAGATGTATAATCTGGTGGGGAAGTTAAAATGTAGAAATGTTTGACCTTAAGATTGAGTGATTTTTCATGGAGTGAAGGACTAGGAATATTAGATTTTCCATTCACAATATCCTCGGACTTTATATCCTTCTCGATCACAATTTTCTGTGCGTCAATCTTACGCTTACTCCTGACTTTAGTGGGTAAGTTAACCTTGTTTACAGGTACCAGTATAGTTGAAGGAGTCAAATTGTTCAATTCACTTCCTTGATCATTACTTGAGGAAGCACGTTCTGGAGGTCTAACCAATTTCTCCTGCTTTGGATATGCAGCATTATGAGAACGTTTTCCTTTGCTAACTGGCTTCTTCACCTCATCTGTAGCCTACAAGACACAGAGAGATTAACAGTATCAAGAAACGGCAATAACTGACCAAGGAATAGAGAATGGCCCAAGACAGTAGAAACTCACAAATTTTCCAGAGAAACAACGGGCACATTTACATTGGCCCAAAAAAACAGCAATAGGAACATTTATGTACTCATTTGTTTTATCATGGATAGTTGAGATTCTGAATTTCTTGTGTAAAAAAATATACATGTCCCTATCATAATCGTCCATGAAGACAAGAACATTTCATCTCACTTTTCTTCAATGGATAATATATCACCAGCGACCAAAGGGCAATTCATAAGATTCAATACCTATCTGAGTCACAAACTCCATTGTGCTAGACCTCAAAATTATAAGTAATTAAGAAAAAAAAAAAAAGAAAAACAATTTATATGTAGTACAGGCTATGTCAAAGAAAATATATGTTGTAAGAGCTCCTTATAATTTCAGCAAATTGAAACTTGGAAATTGGAAGGAGATGCAGTTTCACATCAAAATGAACAACACCCTTGATGCAAGGCTGAAAAGTGAAAAGAATCACAAACCTTAACTTTTGGATATTTAACCAAATGAGAATCAGGATGTGTTTCATCTTCAGGAATCTGAAATTGTAAGCATTCGAATAGGGTCATCTCTCCAACTTATTCCAAATGAATTGAATAGAACATTGCCAGTAAGGAAACAAGCAAAGCACTATCAATTAAAGTTAGCTCTTACTTTAAATGGTGAGCCTTTTTGTCTCCTTCTACGCATTCCAATGTTAATCTGATGAGTTTCTTCCTTTGTTTCAGGAACAGCAGTAACATCATGATCAAATAGTCTTCCTAGTTTAGATGTTTTCACAGCAGTTGCTTTGGCTCCAGCTATAGAATGATTCCCTTTCAGTTTAATCTTCTCAACTACTTCTGATTTTTCTTCCTTGAAATGCACAGATGACTCTGAAACAAATGCATAAACCAAATACCAGTAAAACTTGGGAGATAGTTAACTAATGACAAATAAAGTCTTACTCACTATGTATTGGATCTATATGTAATAACGGAAAGCTAAAGCCGACAAAACCAAGGTGGTGATTCAAGCTTGATACAAAACAAGGTCTAAATATTTAAATTTAGTATAGTTCAGCAATTAGAATATAAATGCTGACACATTGATTCTAATGAGTACTGTGTTAGCCTATTATGTCTTGATTCTGGATCAAAATGCCTGCAACTCAAAGATAGCTTCTTGGCACTTCACAAGAAGTGTAAACAAAAATGTAAGACACCAAGTCTGTGTGCCTTCTACTATCTTGTGAACCATAAAATAGAGGTGGCAAACAATATCCACCTCATAAGACAGCTAGTCCTACAACAATATCAGTACAACAGTTTGAAACTGAGTTTTGATGTATCTTACCATTGTCAGCGGTTGTATCGGGCATCATCAAGGACAAATCAGCAAGAGTTTGCAGGGCATCAAAGGAGGCATCTTCATCTGTAATTAAAAATGAAAAAAAAAATTAATAATACTTGACATTCATGTAGTTCTAGAGATTAAAGAACAGAGATAGGTTAAATTCAATGTTCACTGAAACAAATTTACAAAAATAAAGAAATATGTAAATTTTGTTTTAGATTATCACGACTGATTAACATTTTCATCTTCTTCTTTTCTTTTCTTTTTTTGTAAACAGCTCCTTTATTTCATCTTTCTCCGCTTTCCCTCTTTTAAAATTGGAAAATAGTTAAGCATGTTTTGGAGAAAATAAGTAATTTTTCTGCAGGAAAAGTAATCAATCTCATATGAAAAGTAAAGGCACACAAGTAGACTGATCATCAATATGTTAAGGTATCTCAGTATATGAATCAGGAAAAGAAATAATACACTTCTGACTTAAGAACAAAAAATCAGAGTGAGAAGAAACAGAGATGGGGAAGAAAGGGCAAGAAGACTTGGCTTAATTGCGAATACCACATACCTCCTCCAAACAGCACTTTTTTACTTCGCTTCCTAGTGTCCCTAACAGCAGCTTGAGAAATTTTGACATCTGCAGCTCCCACTTCATATTTTTCCTTAAATTTGCCTAATTTTTGTCCTTCTTCTGTCCCACTGCAAGCTTCTTTTGTTTCTTCAAAATGATTGTT